CTCCATAATTCCTCGGTCCGATCTCGAAATGACGCAATTCAAATGCGTCAAAAAGCCAAAGAAAAGATCTACAACCTTCCATGGGTGAATCATATGTGGAGTGGACGAGATACGAGTGGCACTTCACCTTTCGTGAGTGAAATGTAATTCCTGATTGTACCGTTTCTTTGCTATTTTGTCATCCCGTTATCTCGTTTGCTTCATCGACTCACTTTATTCGCTTGTTGAGGTCAGATAATCTTCTTTGACTCCGATAATGATGTTCATCGTCTTCTCTCCGTCTCGAGATGTGTGCGGGAATCTATAGGTAATTTTTAACGCCTACACCATGCACCCAACACTGTGCAATAATATGTTTCACCATCACAACAATATCTTTCGAGTAGAATCAAATAAAAAGTGCAGATACAAGCAGATATAAAAGAGATGAAAACCGAAAATAGGACATAGAAATAAATGATCAACATCAGACATAATCAAGTCTCAATAGATATAGAAGAAAATATGTCCAACAATCTAATACAAATGGTCAATAGTCTTAACTGCAAGAGTCAACTGAAAAGTATATAGGTTCTCAGCTCTTAAAATAAAATGCAAGTCTAATAATCAACTAAAATCAAAACTCAATAACTGTAGAGCAGAAACTACTATAAATAAATGACGGTGACTATACTGAAAGTCTGTCAACCTACGGCTCTCCGAAACTCTGATTCGCTGTCTGAAAAGAAGGGAAATCAATAGTGTCAGAGTGCTAGCAAGATTATCTTCATCCGTCCTTAGGGGAAGGGTTACTAAGTATGATGGAGGCCCTAACTATGTACTACATGGAATTTATATTTAGGAATCCACAACACAAGATTGGTACGTCGAGCGAAATAATCCAAACAAGGAAACCCTCATGTATATACCATGTATCTCAAGTTGTGAATTTCTAGATATAAATACCAACTATATATAAAATAGTAAAGGGAAGCAAAACAGGAAAATATAACAACAATCATCTCCATAAATATCATCCAACTCCTCATTTTACCCTTAATGGGCAAAGCATATACCAATACACAAATCCTGTGTAAACCACAATACAATATACTCCTTTCATAAAAATCTCAATAGTGAACTACGTTAATGAGAAGTCTCTGCTTAAGACTCGAGGTGCTAAATATTTTGTTTATAACTTCTATCACTCATCGCATCGTCGTGCGGATCGGCATATACGGCTCACTAGCCTCATCGCATCATTGTGCGGATCGACATATACAGCTCACTAGCCCCATCGCATCATCGTGCGGATTGACATATACGGCTCACTAGCCCCATCACATCATCGTGTGGATCAACATATACGGCTCACTATTTGACAGCTCCAGATGAGGGATTCGTATGTGTTCAAACTCAATACGTGTACTCCTCAAAACATGCGTATAGAACTTCGTATGACTAACACTACTCGCTCGCAAATCGAACCTGCATAATAAAAGCCAAAGTTCACCTATAATGCCTAATCAGTCGACTGACAGAGGGCTTCGGTTGACTAATCGACTGCTTGCACAAGGCTGAAGGCACCTTGTCAGTCGACTGACGCATGCGATCAGTCGACTGACTAGACCGAAATCTGCCATGTTTGGTTTTTTGTTTATTTTTCTTCAAAGCTTGGGTTTTTATTAATATAATTGATGAAACTTGATTTAATACTCATGAACACTTAACAAGAGGTTTGTTTAAACTAGAAAATTCACATAAATTCATGGATCTAGGGTTTAACGTTCAATTAAAACCAAACTCTTGTTTGATTTAGTTAATTAAGGTATTTAAACCAAAATAAAAATGTAATTAACATGTTAAAACAACCCTAATGATTATGATCGTGTACACTCATCAAATTTCAAATTTATACTACCGTTCATAGCTTTGATTTAAGATTTAAACATTATAAATTAAGCATTTAACATCCGATTAAACCCTAAACATGATATTAACCATGATTATCACATAAATACTTGATTTTTTAATTAATGAGAGGTTTGGAGGGAGGTGATCTTGCCTTTCACCACGTGAAAATCCTTCTAAAACAAGCAGGACTCGATCCCTCGTCACCAAACATCAAAAATCTCGTCCTCCTCTTGGTGTTCGCTTCACAAAGCTCTCCTGAAATCTTAATTTAGGGTTAGGGTTTTGAGAGAGAAGAAGAGAGGCTGCTAGGGTTTAGAAAAATTAATGAAAAGATGAAATTTTCGTGACAAAAACGTATATATATATAGGTACAAACCTGAACTCAAACAGCCCAAACCCGTAACCCAAAAGATTCTGGAAAACAGGCCGTCAGTCGACTAATGCCTACCATCAGTCGACTGATGACTTTCCATCAATCAACTGATGGGCAACATCAGTCGACTGATCAGAGGCTTTCCAGCTTCAAAATTTTGTGCATGTTTTACTCATTTTTGTGAATGTTTACACTTGTATATTCTCATATATATACTCTTTATTGATCTCATATCAATTATTAACATAATCATTCATCCATAAATGCTATTCATCATAATTAAAACTCATTTATCAGTATAAATCATAATATTTTCAAAATTTACGGGGTTTTACATATATGCTGACTTACCTAGCCACTTACCCATCAAGTGTTTTTGGGACACAGGGCGTGATAGTTTATGACAAAACTTTGGGGTTAGCCCTGGCATATCAGAATAAGAGAGGTGTGAATGCTACTTCTCTATGAAATCTGTATCTGTCCTTGCGAGTAACACATATCTACATGTTCCCCTTCAAAATTAATCACTAAGACCTCCAATCAATCTCACTGGTAGAAAACGACTTATTCCAGGCGGAAAATTCCGTCTGGAATAACTTGAATTCCGTCTAGAAAATGTATTCCAGACGGAATTCCGTCTGGAATACGGGTCTAATTTATTTCCGTCTAGAATAAGTTATTCTAGACGGAAATTCCGTCTGTAATGTAATACAGACGGAATTTTTTAGACGAAAAAAAACCCGTCCGTAATTCTTAAGCGACGGAATTTTTCCGTCTGTAATAAGTAATGCAGACGGAATTTTCCAGACGAAAAATTCCGTCTGCCTTAATCAACATCCCAGACGAAAATTTCCGTCTGGGTTAATTAACCCAGACGGAAATATCCGTCTGGGATATTGGACAACCCAGACGAAAAATTCCGTCTGGGTTAAGTATCCCAGACGGAATTAAATTCCGTCTGGGATACTTAACCCAGACGGAATTTTCCGTCTGGGTTGTCCAATATCCCAGACGGATATTTCCGTCTGGGTTAATTAACCCAGACGGAAATTTTCGTCTGGGATGTTGATTAAGGCAGACGGAATTTTTCGTCTGGAAAATTCCGTCTGCATTACTTATTACAGACGGAAAAATTCCGTCGCTTAAGTATTACGGACGGGTTTTTTTCCGTCTAAAAAATTCCGTCTGCATTACATTACAGACGGAATTTCCGTCTAGAATAACTTATTCTAGACGGAAATAAATTAGACCCGTATTCCAGACGGAATTCCGTCTGGAATACATTTTCTAGACGGAATTCAAGTTATTCCAGACGGAATTTTCCGCCTGGAATAAGTCGTTTTCTACCAGTGTATTGCACTCATTCCTAATTTGCACTAAAAGAAAAAATCACAACCATTAACTAGATAATCAATGGCCGCTTTTCTTTTATTTTCCCCCCTTCAATCAACCACTTAACTGCACATATTAAACAGAACTCAGCAAAAGACTGTAGAGAATGAGGTCATTTCAAGTTGTTTGTCTCACAAAAACATTATAACAGATGTGTTCACTTCAGAATGAAAAAAAATATATGAGTAGTAACTAATAACCAGAATGAAGTAACCAGCAAAATAGGAACATTTAACTTCATAATTACATTTATGTTCAACGCCTAAATCATGCAGATGCTTTAAAAATTATTGTGAGAGCACTTTACTCTCGCAGCGATTATGCAATCCAAATAATATTCATTGGGTGGCCATAACATACAGAGGATCCCCATTTTTTAGAAAGCAAAACCGTTTGAAAACCGAAAATTTGAAAACAAAAGGACCTGAAAGCTGAAAATATCAGCAGATGAGGTTAGGAAGGGAAATGTGCTTCATATTACTGGAGATTCTGGTAATTTTGGTCGGAGCTGAAGGAAAATGGAATGATTGAAACATGTACAGTAAAGTTTTGAGTTCTTTCAAAAGTTTTGAGAACCATGTCATGCTACTGTATAGAATGCTTATCCAGTTAGTAGAAAGTGTAATGATTAAACGTTTCCACATAAAGATGGAGAAAAAGAATGAGTACAATCTGAACTTCATTCATGTTATGATGCATGTAGTTATTTCCTTTTCGTGCTAATAGTTTTTGAATTACAAACAATACCTTGCAAGCTGACTTCTATTGGCAGCCCAAATGATTTTAGTCATTGGATGGAAATGTGCCATGTAAGATATAGACAAAAAGAAATGTGTACAATCTGAACTTTTATTCATGTTTTGGTGCACGTAATCATTTTCTTATCACTCTAATAGTTTCTGAATTACAAAAAATATCTTGCAAGCTAACTGCTATTGGCTGCCCAAGTGATTTTAGTGAAGTACCAACATTGGATGTAAATGTTTACTAGTCATTCATCAAGATTACTTTCCAAACTTAACGGATTTCATTTTCAAGGCCCTCATACTTCATCCTATATATATTTTAATTATTGGAAATAGGCTGTCCAAATGATTTTAGTTAAGTATCAACATTGGATGGAAATGTTTACTAGTCGTCCATCAAGATTACTTTCTAAACTCTAACGAATTTCAGTACTTCATCCTATATTTTTTAAATTATTGGAAATAGCTTAAGGTTAAATAATTTCGCATGGAGCGTATATTAACTTTCTCTGAACTTTATGTAATTTCAAGACACTTCATGGATGGCTTATCTTAGTCCTATATATCTTTACAAATTATAAGGGTTCGATTTGTTTTTCTATACATAATTTACTTGTGTTTTGTTGAGAATTTATGTGATTTTTAATATTATTATTTTAATGTAGACTGCAGAAGAAATCTTAGTAGATGATAGATGCCGAATAAATCATTTGGCCACAAGCATTGTTGCACTGTCACAGGTTCGACTTCTGCTTTTGATTGTCAAACTGAGAACTAATTTAATTTCCTTACAACCTTTCAACCTTTTATTTTTAATTTAATAACTATCAAATGTGGTCATTGCAAGAAGTTTATGATCTAGTAAACACATGTGGCTTTTAGGATGTTATCATTTGTTTTGAAGATGAACTAACTCAATATGACCGTTCACATAGATAAGATTCTTTTATTGCTATGGTTGTATATTAGTTCTCAGGAAGATGTTATGTTTCTTTTTTGTGCCGAAAAGATGAATCAGTCGACAATAATGGTATAATTTGGTTAAGATTCTTTTGCTGCCATTTGTTTATTTTGATGGACATCAGATGCATAGAGATTCATTGAATATGAGCAAGTTTGCTCACAGGGGATCGGAAGTTATCTTCACAATTTTGCCATATCTACCTTTTCACTTTACAGAAGAAAATCACCTTTACGGTGCCTATTCTCCCATGTGTTGTACATACATATTCAACTATGCATTTACATGCTTTTGAGTTTTTCTTAACTATAAATCTTTTATCATCATAAAGTTAACAAAAAATTAATTAATGGTGAAACTTAATGAATTAATCCATATTTGACTTAAGTTCATGGATTATAAAATAAAATAAAATAACTAAAAGTTGTCTGATTTACTCATTTAGCTTAAATATCCTATCTTATTCGCTTGGTTTGAAAGTAAGACGGCTATTTTTCTTTTGGAGTATTCCCAAAGCAAAGTGAGTAATGCTTTGATTCTTTACAGGACACCATTAACTCATGATCTTCTATTCCTATCACACGAAAGGATATTTTTTCAAAAATAACTTGAAAAATGAGGTCATGTATGAAAAGCATATAAAAGTCAATATGAAGATGTTGTTATAAAAACATGTGGGTATCTACAGTTATATGCTAAACCCCATCTTTAGATTGGTTCTTTTAGTTTCTTAGCAATCTTTTTTCTTTTATGGGTTCTCTTTTTATAGTACAAGGTGGATAAGTCCATCCGCTTCATTAATTAGTTACTATATTCAACTTATTTAGTTAGAAATTTTGATATGATAAATGTTGCTTTGCTTTGGAAAGTCTCATTGTCGCTGTCATACAATTTTTTCCTTGGCACTCCACCCTCCTAATGTCTAACCTTTTCGTTTCAAGGGAGTGCCATTTTTTCATTCTGGTGATGAGATACTGCGTTCCAAGTCACTTGACCGCGACTCTTATAACTCAGGCGATTGGTTCAATAGGTTGGCTTCGTTATTCTTTTGAGAGTGCATTGTTTAGTTCACATTTAAATTTCGTATTGTCAACTGAAGATTTTCTCATCCTGTCTGACTTTCAGTGTGAACTTTTCTTTATTAGTTGCTCTTGTATCTTTAAAACAGTAGATGTGATCTTTAAATCATTATAAACTTATCATTTGGAAATGACTGATGAATGTGTTCCATATGTTTTAGGCTTGATTTCAGTTATGAGACGAACAATTGGGGTGTCGGCCTACCTCCGAGAGAAAAGAATGAAAAGAACTGGCCATTGTAAGCATGAATTTTTCTGGTATAAGTTCTAATAGTATTCAATTATTTGTTTTCTTCAGATATCTCATTCTTTCGAACACTCGTTTGTTATTATTACCTTACATTTAAAAGGCTTCTAACACATTTCTTTCATTCATAGCATCCAAATCTGAACCTGAATTTGTAAATCCAAATCTAACATACAATTAACTAACTTACCTCATAAAATCAAGAGTCATCCTCATCGTCATGTTCCCTCCTCTGCACGCCACTACTGCTTCCGCCAGCAAGTCCAGCCTGAAAATTAATAGATTTACATTTAGAGAACGATATTTAACAATATAAGACATATTATTAATTTACCTGTGCGCCAGCGTCTAAATCTATTTGGTCCAAAACTTCTCCAAATAATTCAGCTGAAATCTTCCCGGACAAGCATAAAACGATGTGTCTAAAAACATCGTCGCTAGTAGGGGATGGAGGCAAATCTGAACACATAGCCGTCGTCATCTGCATGAGTAATGTAGGGTCGATCTTACCGCGCAGATAACGGTTGACGCGCATAATTGTAGAAGTGGTGTGAGTTCTGTTTGATGCTGTAGTCGCAGTCGAGGTTGTCGAGGACGCTGTGGATGATTTTCTGGAGGTACCCCGCTGAGCTCCAACCCCCATCAATGGGTATCTACCCCGGTTATTATACCCCATCACATTCATTGCAATGGCATTACTTTCCTCTCTTGACAAAACATGAGGGTCATCAGCAGCTTCTTGGGTAGCACGTAGTGCTGCATCCTTCGACGCGGCAGCAATATTATCCTAAATCACATACAGAAAATAGATATATATTGAATTGGCAAATAATGATTTCAAGTTACAAAAGTTTAAACTCCTAATTAATGAAATGTACAACAACGTAATAGTTATTAATTTATATTTGTTGAAAAATAATTACCACCAACACCATGTTTTCTTTAATCTTCTCTTCATCTTTATATGTTGAGTGAAATGTGCCGTAAGCTAACTTTGCCTTCAAATTGATCGGCATTATCGGCTTCCCCTACAAAATATAATAGGAAATGTCGAAGAGTTTGGCCAAATTGAAGGTGTTAGCATGTGAATACATCAACTTTAAATATTATACCGTGTCTCGACAATATCTATACTCAAGGTTGGCAAAGGACCTCGATCCCAAGTGGTGGTCAAGCTTGCGCTTGCTATGTCGGTTCGTCGAGCCCTTCTTAGATTTATCCTACAAAAATTACGCGTGTTAAAAATAAATTGCATTTACAATATGCTCATGTACGCAACCTGATAATGTACTCGTACCTGTGCGGACTCGGTATCCCAATAAAAAAGAAGAGCCGTGAAATGATCGAGATCCACCCTCTCATCGAGATTTAAAAATCTCTGCCAGTCTTGGGTATATTTATCATATGTTGATATCTTCAGCTCATGTCGCCACTGTTTGAGCACGGCCTCAACTTTGATATTGAAAACATAGTGCCACGCCCCCGGGTAGTCCTCAAGACAATAGTATTTCTACAATTTTGCATGTAAAAATATAAGATATCTAAGCATTTTGTAAACGTATTCTATATCAAAAAAAAATTAAAGAAGTAATGATCATATACCATCAACTCTCTCCATATATCCTCGTATGCGGACCATGGAAGCTCCTTGAATTTGAAGTACGGGTTTATGACTTGAGCCCGCCGTACTAAAACGCCGATGTAGTTATTAAATTTTTTTGACCACGGGCCGATCGGCAAGTTATCAACCCACTGAAGAATTCCCCGAAAGCCTCTCGGTGCCTGTTTGGAATCAGGCTTGCTTCCACCACGTCCTCCCGGTCCAGTTGCATCTCGCTTTGCCCCTACATTGACAACAGAAGTTACGTGATGAAAAGGCGAAAACAATAGGACAAAATTATTTAACGTACCCCTCGCCACTTCTCTATCCCTTGCTTCGATTGCAAGTCTCTTTCTAAGGGTCATCATAGGCTGTAGTTCATCTAGCCTTATGAGTGCAAGCAGATGAAACTTCAAAGCATTAGTCTTTGATATGATCGAGTCTGGAGGCAATGGTAGATTGGGGATGTCAGGGGTCCACAAACGCAACTCGGCCCCCTGCGTATCATGCGAAGACGATGGTGTCCAAGAACCCTCTACAATGATACAAGAAGATAATCAATACGAGAAAATTGAAGGATCATTATATTGAGATGCAAAGCAAAAATAAATATATTGCGACACCATTACCTTCAGTGTGGGAGGACTCTGCATGTGAATCAGTGGCTCCGGGTGAAGAAAAATCAATGCCTGCCAAATTATCTATGTAAATAAAAATTAATATTGCTAACATACAATAGATTTTAAATACAAAAGCTGGACTTTAAATATGATTGGATAAATATTACAAACACATATATGATTAATACCTATATGAGGCGAGAATGCTAGAGTCGTGTCCCGTAGACGACCCGATAATTCCGCATCATCTACTCACATAAAAACAACTTAGCCTAAATGATGTTTCATATGTCTACTTTGAGTTGTAAAAGATAATTGAAATTCATACCACTATCCGTATGGGATGAAATGCGTGCCTCCTGAAGCTGTTCTGAGCCTAGGGCCTCCTGAAGCTGTACTGAGCCTAGGCTCGTAGATCGTGACCGATCACGTGATCGATCGAATAACCTCGAGTTCTTCATCTGTAACACGGAATTAGCAGAGTTCAATATGAAATATTTTCCTACTAATTCACAAGATAAACATTTACTGCAATTAAACATTTAAATGACAACATAATATACCTTCTACAACTTGCTATTTTCGTATTGAACGAGGTATTGTTTGTATTATTCGGGCTATATTTAACGTTGCTTGCTTTCGTCTACTAGTAGTTGATTCTAGTTGCACATCTGCCTCCGGTTCTCTATCCCCGTCTAAAATTGGGTTGTCAGCCTGAATCTCCGCATCTGTCAAATCAAGCATGACATTCTGAGGGTAAGAGAAATTCTGCCAAATATCATCAGAAGAACCAATTGGTTCATTGTCCTCATCACTATCGGCGTTATTATTAGGAAGGACAATAGATCTTGGCTCCTTGTATAGCACGACCCAATCGGCGGCAACCCTTGGATCTTTCACATAGAAGCACTGGTCCGCCTGTTCTGCGAATATGAACTTCTCATCTAGGTATATCTCTTTGTCGAGGTTTACTAGTGTAAACCCATAATGATCCTTACGCGGTTTGGCAGGACTCCAGCGAACCTTAAACATGCAATAATTACGCTGATTTTTTTTACCATAGCCGTAAATTATCTCTATAATATCTTCCAACTGGCCATAATATAAGATGTCAGCTTCAACTGGGTTTTGATCTCTTATGCGAGAAAAACATTCTTGAGCAAAACAGACCATGACCCCACTATTTTGCGTTACCCTCTTATCATCGGTCGCCACTGTTTTAAACTTATACCCATTAATGATGTGTTCACTATATCGTCTCACTTCATAGTAAGGACATTGTGTGTGAACTAAAATATCTTCAGAGATTACGGCACCAGCAAGAACGTCTTTATCAACCTAATTCAAGCATCAATTGAATAAAATGATCTCCGAGTTTGCTTAAAAATTTAAAAATAAAAAATACAATACTACTTCTACGCTACTTACATCGGTTCTGAACCAATCGGGAAAATCTTTGACGTGTTTTTTTTGGATATCATGTGCTTCATTCCTGCCTGATATTTCATTGTTAAGCTTCTCCAAATGTCGCCTATTTATACAACAATGAGATTGTATTGATACAATGAATGTAAATAATACAAGTGTCATCCTATTCCTAAATTAATGTACATTACCTTCGATAATCGCTGAAAATGTCAAGATTATTCAATACATATGCATGAACCTGCTCCAAGTCAGATCTTGGATATTTTACGAGTTTCTTCTCCTTAGTTGGGGGCTGATCAGCTTTTACGCGGTTGCGCATGTAACGTGATGCAAACGTATGACATTCGTTGGTCACGTAACCTTCAGCCATAGAACCCTCAGGATGAGCTCGATTGCGAACTAGACGCTTCATAAACCCCAAATATCTACAATAATTAAAATTTTATGAACTACAAATATCTAATCTAAATAAAATCATGAAAAGGACAAACAGCTTTTACGCGGTTGCGCATGTAACGTGATGCAAACGTATGACATTCGTTGGTCACGTAACCTTCAGCCATAGAACCCTCAGGATGAGCTCGATTGCGAACTAGACGCTTCATAAACCCCAAATATCTACAATAATTAAAATTTTATGAACTACAAATATCTAATCTAAATAAAATCATGAAAAGGACAAAATGATATTTCTGTTTCAAGCTTTTTAAATTCCTTCACATCTATAACTTTCGAGCACAATTTTCTGAAGAACCCACAATACTCCATAATAATTTCCGATGCTTCTTTCTCCATATTATTACGCAATGCAACCGGGAGCAATTGATGTAGAAGCACGTGATAATCATGGGTCTTTAGGCCTAAGAGCTTCCTCTCCTGCACCTGGACATTATTTGATATATTAGCTGAATACCCATCCGGTGATTTTACTGATTTCAGGACCTCACAAAATCTCTGCATCTGCTCTGTCGACATCGTAACACGAGAGGAAGGCTTATGTTTTTTTTAAGTCCAACATCTTGTGCTTGCAAATCTTCTCGGATATTCAATGCAGCTAAGTCTTGACGAGCCCTTAGGTCATCCTTTGACTTATTAGGATCTTGAAGGAGGGTTGAAACTATGTTGTCACAAACATTTTTCTCAATATGCATGACATCCAAGTTATGCCTGATTTTAAGCTTTTGCCAATATGGTAGCTGGAAGAAGATACTGAATTTACTCCATCCCTTTGGTAATTTATCTAGGTCATCCTTTGACTTATTAGGATCTTGAAGGAGGGTTGAAACTATGTTGTCACAAACATTTTTCTCAATATGCATGACATCCAAGTTATGCCTGATTTTAAGCTTTTGCCA